GGGTTTTTAAAAATACAAAAAATGGTTTTCCATATGATAGGAAAATTACACAAGAAACCATTCTTTTCCCAATAATTTAAACAAATAAGTTTTACAAATTTAGAGCCGAGACATTTTTCATAACAACACTTAGATTTTAATTGATTCGGTGTCACAAATTCATTCATCATCTAACACGTGGCTCGTGTTGGTCGAAGACATTGTTGTTATATTCAAGTTGGTTTGATTTTCTCTCACCCATGATTGGGGAATGCTTAACTTAATTAATTCGTATTATCTAATAATTGTGCTATATCTGCGTTTAGGACAGTAGGCTTGAATTAAATTGATAATATGTTTTGAAGATGTTAACTTAGGCTTAGTATTATCTACAAACAATATCAGCCATTAGTTTAATGCCCGAAATAGTGAACGTATCAAGGTTTAAAGGTTTGTTATACTTGCTATATGTATTATTGAATCTGGAACCGGTCTTGTGCCTTTGTTTAAATCATCCTAAGATTCTAATAAGTTTAAATAAAATTAAGTATATTTTTCAGGTCGTCAAAACACTTAGATGCACACCTCACAACACCCTGGTTTAGACAACTTGAAATTGAAATAGTTTTATTGTTGTACACATAATGAAAGAAATTGTGTTATTTCACAGCTGAATTGTATGATAAGAACCGTAGAACCACTTTGTAGGGAATAACTTTTAATCTTTAACACCCTAATACACATCTGTCAAACGGCATGTTTGACCTACATTCACTTAACCTTAATCCAAACATTAAATCTTTCAACGGTTTAACAAGAAGGTGCTTAAATATTTCCATTTAAATTTTTAACCTTTGTAAATAAATACAAAAAGCAATTCGAAAAATAAACCACAAGTAAAGGAACCATCTCAGTGAATAAAGCTATTAATATGCCGTTAACCCGTGACGCGAACCGAATGGTGTTTTATAGTAAATTAGAGGAATAAAACATATAACGTTGCCATCTCGACCCTGATGCCCATGAACACAAATGACGAGTTTAAGACAAACCAATGGCGGAATGGAATTGATTAATGGAATATAAAATTTAATAATGTATTGACACTAAGTTTTCTGGTTAGACTTTAGCCTAAAAACATGCGTGCTTATGACAATTTTGGCAGTCATATCTGAATGACTCAAAAACTGGTTATATTTCTTCTTTAACTTTTGGTATACTTAAATCCGGCTATTATTTATGGTAGAAAGATATAATAAAATGACCTAAAGCTTTAAAACATATTTTTAAATATGTTGAGGCACCCTGAATTGAATTTGAAGCACCAGGGATAAATAAATAAAAATAGCTATAATGCATGATTTTATTGTAACTAGTGAACTGATAAATATTGTACAATTTATCTAAACAGTACGTTAGTCGTCAGAAAATTCATGAAAACATGGTACTTTTCTGATATCTAGTTAAATTAACACTTACCACACATTATGTCTCCATAAGATGGTAGCTATAATCTTTCAATCCAATCCCCTAATTTAGTATACCCCCACCAAATCATAAAAAAATAATAACATAGCAAAACGGTGTTTAATTCTGATCATCTAAATTATCAAATGATATTCGCCGAAGTAGTATCTTACTATTTTTCGCTTATATAATTTGATGTTCAAATACAAACCATTAATACTTATCTAAGCATTAAAACAATCAACCATTTGTGGTTATATTGAAATCTGTAAAGGACGCATTCTTTTTGAATATATTTCAAAGTAGGTTTTGCTGCATTGTACTCAGATACACCTAGCACTTTTAATTGGGTCAATAGTAACGTCCGTTACAAAAGGTCACGTCCGTTACATAGTAGGGAGTCACTTCCGTTACAAATATTTTGTATAATATTGACAAAACAGTACAGAGCAGTAAATTTTAATAAAAAAATAATCATTGATCAAATATTGTAACATATCGGCTAAGAATAACAATGAAATCATGCCCAAGAAAGAGTGTAGAAGAGTTATCAGTTGGGAAATTTCACACTGTTTTGAAACCAGATGTCCAGGAAAGATCTTTGCCAATATCTTGGGGTAACAGGGCACAAAGACATATCTTTACATTCAAAAATGTAGATTTTGATATTATCACACTGCAAATCAACTGGGCCGGTATTTATTAGCAAATTTGGGGCAAATATTAATTGGACATGTGACGTCGATTACAAGGTCGCATGGTCCGCAAAATATGTATTTGCATAAAAACAGAACGATAAGTTCTCTTTTTCATTACAAAATTTGAAAGATGAATTATTAATACAAGTTTTTGACCCCCAAAGAATTGGAAAAAAATAATTTAAATTTAACTGCCTTTTCATCTAAAGTTCTACATCTTATTGTGGCTTGTGTCATATAATGATTGATGCTTCAAGATCCGTCAATCGCCTAAAACAGTTTAAGTCCGGACTAAGGGCTGACCAGTGCATAACGTTGACGTCGTTCTGCTGTAAAACGTGTGGGCACAGGCGTTGTCATGCTGGAAAACGTTGTCTCGCGATGACGTGCCAAATGTGGTATGACGTGGGGTCTGAGAGCTTGATCGATGTAGCACACTGCTGTGATGCCGCCTCCTCTCCCTGGACCAAGATTTTGGAACATCCTAGGATACACTTTCTAGTACAGGCCGATTCCACCCCAATCCATTATGCTTGGACCACCCCATGAGTCACGTTCCATGACACATTGGTCAGAGCAACGCTGGCCACTTCGACACCATATTCTGGTCCTGTCATCTGACAGTTCTCCATTGCGTGGCTCACCAGTTCTGGTGTTGTTGGGCAAACTCTAGACGTTCACGTCGATGGCGAGGGGTGAAGATGTGTCCACGGTGAGGTCTACGGCAGTGGATGTTCTCTCTGGTGAGACGTCGGCGCACTGTATCGGTACTGATGGGTCTTCCGTGTGTTCCTACTGTCCGACGTGCTGTCTCAGATGCCTGTGTGAAGGGATGCTGCACGTGCTGTCGCACAACATGGCGGTCTTATCGCCATTTGGTAACTCTTGGTCTACCTGGTCGGGGGGCGATCATCCGTGGTGTTGGGGGGGGGCCCGAAAGCGTTGCTGAAGCCTGTAGATGGTTCGAACACTGACCTGGAAGTGATTGGCAACGGCTTGGGCAGTGTGGCCAGCGTCGACTCTTCAATGCGCCTGGTTTCTCTGGGCTGTCGTGAGTTGTGGCATGCTGATGACGTTGTAGTGTGAATGTTTCAACCAGGTATGGGGGCTGAATTTTATAGGGCTGGTCCCGGTGAAAAGCACGTGCAGCATGAGTTACATCAAAATCATGGAGAACACATTGCCATCTCAGAAGTCAGGTTGTCTTTTTGAGAACATTTCCCGGGTTTAATTCTGTGTTTGGGAAGGAGCCTTATTGCTCAGGTAAAGCTGGAGATGTGGTCACAATTATACAATAAAAACATTTGGCAAATTTTATGCAGTCAAGTACTATATCCGGTGAACACGCGATAAGAAAGACAACTACTACGAGACAATGACGCCATACGACTGTGACGTCATCTATATAAATGCCCTTTATCAACACCCGTTGTCAGATAGAAACGAATACTACATTGGTAGACATCCACAAATAACCAAAAGGAAAAGGACATCAAGACACAATTTTGATCAATATGGCTGCCATCTTGGGTATGACGTCACAGGGGCATAATGACATCATTTTTGGATTTATTGGGGTCGACTTCCTATATGTCTGTAATACATTTATAGGCCCAAAAGTCGATAGTTAACGAGATAGCTGACAATCTAACAGCATTTGGCGGCCATTTTGTATTTATGTTAATTAGAAGGTCAAAAACTAAAATGTCGGCTTGGGAACATGGATAGACGTATTCAGCACATCAAAATCATTAAGAAAAGTGATGTTCCCCACTTTTACTAAGAAATGCTTCTAACATTCTGATTTAACGAAAATTTGACTAGTCTAGGAGTAAACACACGAGGTTGAGAAGGCGTCCCTATTTCCAAGGCACATACGCTCACACCAGGGATCGAAACCACAACCGCAAGCTAGAGGTAACCGGCCAGCTAGAGGTCGAAGCGCGGCACTCTAGCGCGTGATATACTTTGTATATATCGAGGGTATAGAACATAATTGTGATAAGTCAATATATCAGGCATTGTGACTTATCACAATTATGTTCTAAACCCTCGATATTGTAGTATGCTAGACAAGATAATGTAAGAAATGTTAATCTCTTCAAGTACCTGTTAGGTGGACTGTCGACCTATATAATATAACGTCTACCAGGCTTTATCAAATTAAAGACAACAAATCCTAAGAGACGTCCATTGTTTGTAGGGGCGGACTGGGTAGCTCTGAGCCCTCGGACAAACTGGTGCCCTTGGGACACGACGAGAAAAACGTAACATGTTTGATTAACCATTCTCGCACTCCGGCAATGATATTCTTTAGTGGGTGCAAAGATTAAAGAACACTTTTCTATTTATTAACCTATTTCAAAATGAACTGCATTGTGGTAGACAAATATGTTTACTACGGTGCCAGTTGAAAAGTTTGTTCCAATCCTTTATAACATTTACCAAGTAATTAATGTGTAACGGTGTACCCCAAATCCATGTAAAAATAATGGTACGTGCTCAACGGTTGATAACGGTTACAGCTGTAGTTGTACTCCTGGGTATTTAGGAGAAAACTGTGATGGAAAGATATATTGTATATCGTATCAATAATTTCCCCGAGAGAGGGGGAGAAAATGGGTTTAAATTGATTGCATTTACAGATATACATGGAACCATTTCAGTAAAGGATCCTGGATTGCAAACTCGCCTGTCATCGTTGTAATTTGCTTTCGAATATGCACGAGTAGCTAAACCACGTGATTTTGTTTATCATTATGGTTGCTTACACCGATTCGGTATTTACAAGCAAAATCAAAATATTATTACTCCAAAAATTAAGTATAGGGAAATAGTGAGCATATTTAATTGCAGTGAATGTGTGTCTACCTAACCCATGTAAGAATAATGGAACGTGTTCACCAGTTGATAACAGTTACAGCTGTAATTGTGCTATAGGATATTTAGGAAAAAACTGTGACGGTAAGTTACGTACATTCTTTATTGTCATAATAATTTAGTCAGCCTTAATTGACCAGCCAACAAGCTCATTATGAACAAATCAAGCCCCAAAGGACTCGGGGTGTAGCCTTATTTGACGCCAGATTAACGTAAGAATTCGCCCATTACATCTGAATTAAATCTTTAAATTAAGATGCAGCCTTGTTCGACACCAGATTAACATAAGAATTTATCTATTACATCTGAATAAAACATTGTTTTCATGTGGCCATGTGATAATGCTCTAACAATGTATCGATTAATTCCCACAGAGGCGCACATGAAATCGATAAAACTCATATATAATTACAGTTACTAGTACATATTTACACAAGACGAGGCGGTCCGGTTCACATTCACTGTTACTTTACTGGACTCAGCTTGAGCTGCCCCTTCTTTAACGCAAAAAGATCAGGATTCAGGAAATTGAATTAGATATCATGCCGCGAATTTATAAATCTCAATGGGTATCATATCATCACCAGTACTTGTTGCATTCATTATTTTACTTAAATCTCTGATAATTTCTAACCCGTTAAGAAATATCCATATTACATTATGCCATACTTAACATTTGGAATTATGATAACTCACTGTCTCACATACATGATTACTAACGTGTGTGAGGTCAGTGTATTACCACTACGGCGCCGTTACAGAGCGTGACCAAAATTAATCCTTCCCACGAAGGCGCAGATATGGACGTCCCACGAAGGCACGGATATGGACTTACCGGCTTTCGTTTGAAGAAAGGCATGTTGTTATTAGGACCCAATTAACGGTGTTAGAGATTTAATGAATTTATGTTCACTCTGAATTTTATTCACCATTTGGCAACTAATGATGAATATCATAACATCATCCAAGTAGTGTTCACTCTGAATTTTACTCACCAATTGGCAACTAATGATGAAAATCATCAGATCATTCAAGTATTGTTCACATATTCGCCCACTCTCAATCAGATCCAAAAATAACTGAATTGGCCGACTACGTAAACAACCAAAGGGGGAGGATGAACATGCTCCTCATCAGTGGAACCACTACCACACAGGGGAACACAAAATCAACAACACCCTGGAAGAATGGCATTCAAGGATCAAGAAGCTAGTTGTTAAAGTTCATCCGAAATGTTTTTGATATGATCTCATTTTACAAGAGCAAAATATTAATTAAATTAGAATCGTACAGTATGTCGGGGAACAGAAACCACCAAGGAAGAGATATAAATATGCCCAAATCTAAAGCCAACTCCAGGAATTAAAAAGTAGACACGAAGAAGAGGAATTAAGACAGGGTGTCTTATTTGGGGAAATTAAATTTGTTTATATTTATTAACGTCATATGCCAAACATGTTAAAATGTTAGTTAATTAGTCACATTGGGGATTATGAAATTGTAAATTCTTATCATAACAATCTATAACTCCATTATTACATTTTTAATTCATTTTAATCCATGAAAGCTGGATTCCCACGAACACGTCGAATATGACCTCTTTTAATCCGTTACGGTCAATAACTGTGCCTTCGTGGGAATGAACCGTGAGGTCTACATTTCTTTAATTTAATTTTAGTAAATCCTTGTGATATATGCAACCATTGTTTAAATAATGGCACGTGTAACAGACGTTTTTTATTGCATTGAAAGAGTGGCTCACCACCTGTATCTATATATGTATGTTTATGTTACAAATGAAGAGGCATACTTGAGTGATATGATGTAAGTATTTATGTTGATCTAGAGACGTTTGAGAAGAAACTATTCCGTCAAAGAATCACGCCCGTTATTTGCGTTTATGATGATCGATATTTCCCGTCCCGTTTTAAATCCATGGCTCCTCCGCAGTTATTAGCTCCCTTGTTCTACACACTGTTCGTATACCTCACGATTTTGCGGGTAATTAAGAATGGGGGACACGATACGGAAATTCCGTCCTCAAACTTTTGTTGTCGTCATGTCCGTTATGTCAAAATCACGTCCGTTATGCCCAAATCACGTCCGTTATATTATTACAAGAATTTGACAAAAACTGAGGAGATGCCAAAGCCGTCTGTTTTGCGCTCAAAATCAAGAGCCGTTCCTCACATTCTGGTAATCGAAATAAATAAAAGAATCACGCAAATTTGATTGATAACAGTTTGACCTTCGGTTTGACGTGTAACGGATGTGATGGTGGACGAAATTCATAATGTCAAACATCACTAACGTTACACAAAGAAGCTAAGATAACCTAAAGAAAATTACGAGTCTTTATTAAATTACATAAATTGCCTTCTTTTTAAATGTCCTTAAACTAAGAATGGAAAAGAGCGTTAAACACCTACATTGTACTCAGATACACCTAGCACTTTTAATTGGGTCAACAGTAACGTCCGTTACAAAAGGTCACGTCCGTTACATAGTAGGGAGTCACTTCCGTTACAAATATTTTGTATAATATTGACAAAACAGTACAGAGCAGTAAAATTTAATAAAAAAATAATCATTGATCAAATATTGTAACATATCGGCTAAGAATAACAATGAAATCATGCCCAAGAAAGAGTGTAGAAGAGTTATCAGTTGGGAAATTTCACACTGTTTTGAAACCAGATCGTCGCCTGAAAACCATATTGTTATATTTCCAATTACCTCTGTTTTGAGAAAAATGAGATCAAATGTTTGACACTGTACATTTGTTTATATTATTGGCCATCAGTTGTTTATTATTTTACATCACATGCATATGAATTATACCTGAATTTGGAGCATCAATTTTAGATGAAATAATGAGAAATAAAGCTAAAAAACGATTTTTTTGTTTGGAAATAGAACATTTTCCTAAATCTGAAATCGTTCAAACTGAAATCCAAAATGTTCTATGTCCATTATATATGCATATGAACATGCACAGGAAATGTAACTGGTAATTTTATCCAATTATGGGTGTTTAAGAAGGGGGAAGCTCACGTGTTCGCTATAGACTATAAGGTCTGTCATTTAGTGGCATGATTTCGAACCCAAACTTGACTTGTACGTGACAAAAAGTTGGCTCGCTTACCCAACCTCGTGTGTTTTCTAAGCCCCCCCCTCCCCCACTATACCCCTCTAAGCACATGGGTATTATCAGAATAAAATGGTATCATGTTTGCTCTCTCTCTCTCTCTCTCTCACTCTCTCACTCACTCACTCGATCATAGTTAGAGGCCATGAAAACCTCCTTGACCAGTTCAGCTTTATAATAATAATAACAGATTAATTGAACTAAATGTTTACTAATATTGTAATATCTGACATTTAATACACAGAGATTGAAAAAATTATTAGCATGCATGTCTGGTTCTTGGAACTTGGAACTCCTGGTAGATCAGTTTCAACATCAGTCTCAACTAAGAACATTAAAATACATTCCATATGATGTAGTCTATAGATGATACATGAACAATATAAAAGAAATAGACTTCAATATAAACATCAGTGTCTTGACGATCATTAATAACATCTTATTCAGTCAATTTAGACATAAAGACTTTATCTTTTGGTGTCATAAACTTTAACATAGCTCTTAAATCTTTAATTTTTTCTTGGGAAAGTTGCATCTTCTTGTGGATACATTTAACAGCTGGCCACCTTTCTGGTGAAGAAAGACGTCTCTTCATATTTTGTGAACGTATGGAGCAACTGTTTGCAGTGTGTCCTTCTTCGAAGGATAATTTATATTCTATTTGGTATGTCGCATCTTTACGGTATGAAATCTGCTTAACTTTCGAAAATGGTACACTTCTAAAGTTTAGAAGCTTGGATGATTCCAGATAGTTCTTGAAATGACCCTCCCTCATTTGAATAATTGTAACTGGTTTTCTCATACAGGTTTTCAGACAATTCATCACCCCAAGAGGACTGAATGTTTCTTGTTGCGAAAGTCGTCGTTCAATACAGCTGTGAATACTATCTACTTCTTGGATAGCTGAATGTCCGGGTTCACAATATTTCTGATGAATGACATCTACCTGGTGCTTTTGCAGAAAGTCTTTAAGGGAAAATGCTATAGCTGAATTTCTATTTTGGGGAACGCAAGAGTCTGACCAAAGCGTGATTGTTTTGGGATTGTATTCTTCCACGATTTTTTCGAGTATGACAATTAATGCACTGGCTATCTCATTTGAGCCTCTACCGGCCAATTTTTCATGCCATATAGCACAGTAAGCACTGGAGTTGGAAGAGCAATGAGCTGTCAGATTATACACACTTAATTTTCTGCGGTAGAAGAAACTTGAAATATTTGCTCTAGGACATGATATTACATTCTCTAAGTCGAAGCAAACAACCATATATGTTCCTTGTCTATCATTGTCTCTTTCAACTTTCGTAGCAAGTTTTGACTCTACATGTTTTCTATTCAATTCAATAATTTCTTCATCTAAAAGATTACACCTTTCTTTCATTCTAAATTCTTCACATTTATCACATCTATCTTTTTTGGGTGAGAAAAAGCTGAGATTAAATTCTGTATTGAATATTTGTCTGTAAATATGCTCCTTAACAGAATCTTTTCTATCTTGTTCACACCTTTCAAGATACAACCTGTACATCTTCGTGATACTGAGATCATTTTCAAGGTATTCTTTTGTAGTTGATTGTCTACAGTAGTGAGATTCTATTTTTGGGAATGATCGAATATGCTCGCGTACAAAATCTTTATTTTCTTGATTTATTCTATCCTTTGTTTTACTTCCTCTTTGATCACCACACATCGGTGTTGAAGAAGCGGTATCATGTTTTTTTTCAAAGTAGTAGGAAATTCTCCGTTGGGATATATCAAGAGTTGACAAATAAAAGACCTTGCAAACTCTTATTTTAGAGTCCTCAATATAGAAATTGTAAATATAAGAAAATGTTCTCCTACTTTTATCTTTAGATCTATTTCTGGATTTAACTGCCCTGTCTATTGTTTTTGAGTAGAAATGGTTCTTTTCGTTGTCATTTAAAGACCAAAACGC